CTTTGATGTTATCCATCCACATAGTCCTTGGTCCACCTCTGTTCCATCTTCCCTTCCAATAAAGTTGGCCTTCACTAATTACAATGCAAATAACCCAACCCACTGTTTTTCACTTCATACACAAGAACAGCTACAGAAAAATGTTCTGCTATTAGTCCCATCCTTTAGATATTGTTTTTAAGGTCCAAAATAGAGTTGGTTGTGAGACATGCATGTATTCCTGCTCTGCCTATTGAATAACATATTCTGATTGGTTAGATTTAAAGTTTGTGAATAGGTCAACAAAAGAAAAGAAACAAAAGATTAAAGTTAGTATTTTCTTTTTCTTTTTTTCAGCATTGACTTGTGAATCACCAGCCCAGGCTGAACCTACGTGTCGGCTGTGTCTCGCAGGTCACAAGACCACTGCATTAACGACATGTCCCTATTGTGAGCAGCTTATGTGTCAGACCTGTAGTAGGCAGTGCGATTACTGTATTCGTTTCTTCTGTCAGTTTTGTTCAGTATTAAAGTAGTACCTGTAGGTGTCCTCTGCGCGCAGTAGGTTGGCTACCATGGATTTGCATTCCCCTTTAAAGTACACTGTGCTGTCCTTGCACATTGTTAATAACTCATTCAACACCGTTCTTTGATGTTATCCATCCACATAGTCCTTGGTCCACCTCTGTTCCATCTTCCCTTCCAATAAAGTTGGCCTTCACTAATTACAATGCAAATAACCCAACCCACTGTTTTTCACTTCATACACAAGAACAGCTACAGAAAAATTTTCTGCTATTAGTCCCATCCTTTAGATATTGTTTTTAAGGTCCAAAAAAGAGTTGGTTGTGAGACATGCATGTATTCCTGCTCTGCCTATTGAATAACATATTCTGATTGGTTAGATTTAAAGTTTGTGCATAGGTCAACAAAAGAAAAGAAACAAAAGATTAAAGTTAGTATTTTCTTTTTTTTTTTTTCAGCATTGACTTGTGAATCACCAGCCCAGGCTGAACCTACGTGTCGGCTGTGTCTCGCAGGTCACAAGACCACTGCATTAACGACATGTCCCTATTGTGAGCAGCTTATGTGTCAGACCTGTAGTAGGCAGTGCGATTACTGTATTCGTGTCTTCTGTCAGTTTTGTTCAGTATTAAAGTAAGTTAATGGTTATCTTATTTTCAATGTGATAATTTGTGATTCATACCCAGAACCCTGGGATGGAAAAGAAGGCATTTTAGTCATTAAAATTTACCTTTGCTCCAAATCAATTTGCTATAATTATGTATCATTTTGTAGGAAAGATGTTTTGCCCTCACTGATTCCCACCTGAATCCCAAGAGATTCGGGTGGGAATCGAAGCCACGACCTCCAGATAAGTAGCCTGGTATCTTAACTACTAGACCACATAGCTTATGCTTAGTGGCCAGTGTTGAGCAGTAGCAGTAGGTACTGCAGTGCTATTATAATGGTGATTTCATCAGAAGATTTAATAGAAGGATGTTCAGCCCTACCTGAAGTGGGTGTTATCGTACTGAATGCTCAGTATTTTTCCAAATACTTGAATCCTATTATTGAAAACATCATTGGAATATGTATCATTCTGTCTAATAAAATAGCTCATTGTAGTAATGAGTTTGGACTGATTTGCACATACTAGTACACATTTTCCATAAGAAATAGACCATGTGAAAATTTTGTTATATTATTGTCTGTCGTATTTGTTTTAACCAATGCACAAGAACCTTTTAACAAACTTCACCTGCTCTATGCAATGATACTTAGGCAGACAAAAATAAAATGATGGGGCATGGAGAACATCCTAAGCATCTGAGGTTGGGAGGGGGAATGCATCTGAGCGATCAATTCCTGAATAAAAGTCACCATATTACAATTACAGTATTAAAACTTAACTAAATTTTAATATTTTTCAGTTATGATGAGCGGGATGAACATATTATCTGTCTGAATTGTCTGTCCTAAAGATTACACCTGTCAATCAAACTAAACTAAGGCGTTGCTGCAGATCATGAAAAGTGAACAACCAATGAGAGCTGAGGTGAGGTGGCACAAGATGAGATTACCCATTTTGCATGAAATCTACAAGTACTGAAATGTTTTTCAAGTAATAGCAATTGACGTTCTGGGACAGAACTTACTAACTAAAGAGACAGACTTTGTCGTTATTATATCATCTACAAGCAACTACAGTACTTGATAATGTTTAATATTCTTTGTGCTGGTAACAAGTGATAACATTTACAATTTAACAATCTTGTAATTTTTTGTCTATATTTTCTATAAATTTGTAATATTAAGAATTGTATAAAAAAAACCCTTAAAAAACGATAAAAATATTAAGTAAGATATAGATGTTGAGTGAAGTAGAAAGTATTATAATTGATAAATGACATTAAAAAAGATTTGAGAAAAAGTATTGATATTTACACATGATTAACACTGGGCTTACCCAGAATTGTCATGTGAGTATGTGGGACCAACTGTAAATAAACCTGTGAAATACCCTGATTATCTTTTGTAATTGTTGGTAAAATCATGTAAATAAATTATTTTTGCAATAGTATTTCAGTTGTTTTGCTTATACTGTATATCTGTGTTAATTACCAGCAAATCCTAGAATGTGAAGGAGTTCAGTGTCAGGGTGAATGAACCTTAGACAATAATAGCAGTTCATATGAAGAAGTTAGAAATTTGCATCACAAGGGGAAGATAGCAGTTGTGGAAATGAAGATTGTGGAAATTGAGAAAAATTTTTGGTTTATTTCTTCTTACAAGTGACTTGTCAGAATATGAAAATAGATGAGCTATACTATATCTAGCTGATGATAAATAACACCCTGGAAATTGTATAACATGATTGTCATAAGATAAGTATAGCAGGACTTTTTCGCACGACTAAAAACAACTCCACTCCCTAAGCCTCATAACAAGACTTCGCTGATAAAAGCATCACATTATTTTCATTTATTTAAGAGGGCCCCTGAATATCAGCCGACCTATGCTGAAAGGGTCACCTATAAATTATGTTAAAAAAAAAATGATACAGTAAATTAGATTATAATATTCAAAAGGTTGGAAATAATGCTCTGTTGCAGATATTAAGCCTGCTTCTGCAGGCGAGTCAAGTGGCCGAGTTGTAAGACGCGTGCTGCTAGCAACAGCCTTGACATCAGCACTGGTTTATGCATCTCCTCACCTAGGGTTTAGTGGGTAGAACTACGTCTTCACTAACAGATAGACTTAAAATGGAAGTCGGTGTACACATCTGGCCATTGCATCTTTGTGGTCCTTGCATGATTTGTGGTTGCGTCGGGGCAGTCGCGTCATAGAATGTTAATATTGTTTAATATTATTTAAACATGTTTAATATTTTTCACGACGGCTTAAGACTTGTATCAGACGATGAATCATGTTGGGCTGCGTCGTTCGATGTTGCCTGAGTTGGCCTTAAGGCGGTTACTCTGATGTTATGTTTGATTTCAGCGGGGGTGGGCATCAGGGAGAATCTTTCCCCCTCCACACCCAAAAACAAATTATATGTACACTGTATTTCTACATATTAGTAGACTCTAAAATCTTAGCTTTTTAAAGGGGCTTCGCCCCTGGACCACTTTTGATTATTTTCAGAAACTTCTGACTACGCCAACTTTGCTCCACCCTTGTCCAGGAGATCAGCAGTGTCGTATATAAGAATTCTCAATAGGGGCGGGGGGCCTTTCACAGATGTACGGCCTATACCACTCAGCCCCACCATGGTTGGGCTGACGTAAAAAATTTATGATTATGGCACCTCTAGATGGCCAAATGTGACACTCTGACTTATACGATTACCTTTTTCACTCCATTTTTTAAATTTTGAAAATTTTCTTTGGGGGGGGGGTTTCCCCTTGAACACACCACTGATCTCGTTAATGAGATTTTGTAACATTTAATTTTATTTTGCTGCACATTGTGATACACATTGGCAATGACTTCCGTCAGACAATTGATAATAAAGTAGTGAAAACGTGCACATATTACGAATTTGCAGGATATGGGTTAATTTCCGGGAGATTTTTGCTTACTTGCATGAGGCCGTCCTGATTTCCGGGAGACTCCTACGAGTTCCGGGAGACTCCTGCGAGTTCCGGGAGACTTGATTGTGAAAATGCATACGCAGGTTGCAGCACATCTTTGACATCAAATCTTCATTGTACGCAAATATATTTAGTGGTGTGAAAGTGAAAAATCTCTTTAGGGAAATTCCAGAACAGATATTCCTGTTAATATGTAGTACACTTTCTATCGTGTGATTGGGTAATTAATTATTAGAAGGGAAGTATTCACATTTTACAAGTTTGTGCTCTGAAAGTGGTTGTAATACAAGCATCTGAATCCGGTACACCTGTTGCGAATTGAAATTAAAGTTCATACAATTGATTGCATCATGTTGCTTTAAATAACACAAAAAAAATTGTTTCAAAAGTATGGTAATGTCGATAAACTTTATTTCAAAACTCAATTAAAACCAAGCGAAACATAGAGAACAGTATAATTCACTGTGGCAAAAAGTGCTAAAATCAAATCATGTATCAAGATATTTAAAGTGAATTGCACTTGGATAATACAGTAGAACCCTTTTTTTTTTAAAACATCCCTGATTGCGCACTGTTATGGCCAAAATGAGGAAATGGTATCTTTTAACAGTGCAGCCAACCCCCATTCAATGGACACTATTTGGTTGCAAGGTGTCCCCTCAGTGGCGTAGCTACAGGTAGTGCAGCCAGTGCAGGGCACTGGGGCCCAGGGCTATTAGGGGCCCATTCATAAACAGACGAAAAAATAATAATTTCAAGTAATTCCAATTTAATATGTTTGAAGAATAAAACGGCCAACGGGCCCCTTAATAATATTCAGTTTTTAGAGGAGTATTTATTGATTGTCCTTTGTTGATTTCAAATGTGGTGTATTCAAGGAGTGCCCCAAGTTAGCCTGGCCCCCATAATTTTTTCAAAATAATAAAAGAAATGGGAAAGAAGGGGAATTATATTAAAATTTTAAGTCTGAGAGTGCCATTTCTGGCAAGCTAGAGGTGCTAAGATCATAAATGTTCTTACCACCTCAGCCCCAACCCCAAACATAATGTGAAAATCTCTCCCTGGCCCCTATATTTCGAATTCTCTGATCCGCCACTGCAATTGTTAAATTGTGTGTGCCACCAATTTTCTTAATTAGTTTAGAGCACCTGCTGACCGAATATGCCCTAAAACAGTTACGAATCCGATTATAGCCTAGGCCAGAACTTTAGGATATTCCTCTATTACATCAAAGGACCCGGCGATTAATCTTGCACTGGGGCCCTTTTGCAACTAGCTACGCCGCTGAGTCCCCTTAGTGTGGGTTCTACTGTATTTATACGTGTCAATACCTGCAGTGCTATCATTTATTCATAATGCCCATTGTCAAAATGAAAATATATTAAGTGCTGGCAGAAACAATACCAACATAAATCTATATCTTTGTAGCAGCAGATTTTAAGTTAATGATACTGTAGATAACAGTACTGAATGCAATTTTACTTATCACACAATAAATACTATGATCTTGCACATTAATATCTTGTAAAATATATCAAAACCTCATAAATTCAATCAGATTTACCTATTTACTACAAAAAATCCTTAGATTGATTATCAGCAAAGGTAAATGCTTGTTAAATGGTGAAGATATTCATCCACTCTAATTTTTAGTTTGCATCTAATAATTTAATATACAAGTATAAACAAATTGAAATGCATATTGAACTATACTTTTATAGTTCTTTAGCTCATTGTTAACATTTTAGTCTTTAAGTATTAGTGTTTACATACAGGAAATACTGTAAACAGAACACATCTATAAGGTTAAATAATTTTCATTTTGCCATTAACCCTCATATGAGTTGTGGATTACCAAAGGAGAGTTAAAAAAAAACTTGGATTGAGGGGGAGAAAGAAAAAAAACCCCATAAAAACTTGAAACGCTTGGTGTATCTCAATGCTACAGTTTGGCAGAGTGCTAAAGAGTGATCAGGTAGATCATATGGTTTACATAACCATCACTAGTGATCTAGGATTTGCCCAACAGGGGGTCCGACATGGCTGCAGGAGCTTAGGGAAAGGGACCCAGAGGTCACCCAGAAACCCTCAGAGGTTGTCCAATGGATGCTCTCACAATTTTGGGATTTAATAGGCTTCTCGTAATCTGTAAAAGAATTTTAATTTTTTTCTCATTCATGAATCATTTTCAGCTTCACTAGAAGGGGGATTGTAAGGGACACTCCACCTACTTGCACCACTACTTAGAGATTTTAAAAGGTTTACAGTTCCAAATGGAAATTAACATTCACCCAAATGGCTGCCACTATTTGAAACCAACAAGAGTACAATGCACCACAAAACCACACTCTCAAGAACAAATCCATTTAATTTTTGTTTTTGAAATAAAACTTAATATGACTACTCTGTATTGCAGCAAATCAAGGATGTACTATACTTTAATAGTATCTGGAGTAAATTAAATCACACATAGTAGAAATACTACTTTGGCACAAACCACAACAGACTTGTAATAACAGCTGTACCTGTGGGCTAATTCTATGCCGCCCTCAACGATGGTGATCTGTTGTCAGAAACCTCACTGATAAATAACTTACAGACGTAAGTATTGAAAATGAAAGAGGAAGATGGCATATGACTTTAATATCACGTATACCAATCTAAAAATACACACTAGCAACGAATTACTTTTATCATAAAAACATCTAAAGAGAACAGCAAATTTGTAATATCTATATTATGCACAACTTACAAGGCATACTACAATGAAGAAAAATAGGAAGGATGGTTTGCAGAGTTTTGCATTTTTGTCAAAACCTATGTAAAAGTCCTCTTCTTTCTTTTGTTGATTATTAAACTGGAGAGCTCAGTGCAACAGTAACATTCTCCAAAACCGATGATTCAATTTTAATTTTTTTAAATTAAAATACTAAAATTCCTAAATATTAAAGTATTTTTACCCTTTACTTTTATAAATATTTATTATAAATAAACAAAAGGTTGGTGATAAATAAAGGACTTGTAGTGATATTATAGTATTCAAGCTTATTTTGAGCATACATTACACTGGTGTACCATATATTAAAAAATTACAATTAATAATTAAAACTAAGTCTATATTTCCTATTGTACTGTATATTTGCTTAATATAAAATAAATTTATTTTTTTTATTATAATTAAAAAATGAAACTAAGGCATATTATGCACTTTTTTGATATGGAAAGCATTGAAGAGATATTTAGCTTTAATAGAAAATCCTTAATAAAAATATATTATGATGACGTATATAATTATGATGATCATTTTTAAAAATCATGTGGTAACTTCAGGACAGTAACTTCCGGACAAAAGGTTGACATCATAATGATGAATAAATTTTCTTTTAAAAAGGTCTTAAAACATAAACAAATGTTGGATTCTTATCTAATTTGTACAAAACAAACATGATTTAATGCTGACTACAGTATTATCAGATGTAATAAAAGCAATTTTTAAAACATTTTTCATATTTTTGTTAATTTATTCCCGATTTGGTCATATTTTACATTTGTATCACTTTTTAAGAATGTTTTTAAATTAAAAATTATATCACAGTAGCTAACTTTAATAATAATAATAATAATATACACAATAATTATACTGTATAATTATTATATATATATTATGTATATTGAAGATTGTCAACAATATTTTATTATTACTAGAAAAAAAAAAAAAAAACTTGAATGCATTAAAAAAAAACCAATAATATAAAACTACAAAATTTAAAATTTCTTGCAATGAGATACCATAAAACCTCAAATTGAAGCCCAATGGGCTTAATATCAAGAAGAAGTCCATCTCTAATTGAAGCCCCCTCCCCCCTATTTAGTTTGCAAATTTAGCCTTGAAAAGAAACCCATGGGCTTCTTTTCAAGATAACATAGGCTGCTTTTTGAGATAGTATTAGTACAGTACGTACACTGTACATAAGTTTCAAAGAAGCTAAATAAATTAAAAACACGCTTGTTTATACACTCCATGATACAGATTGATGTTACAGTGGCCCTATTTATTGTTTTATAGTACTAATTCCAAAAATTTACAGCATATATTTTGAAAAGAAGCCCCCTTTTTACTTTGCATAAGTGGCCTTGAAAAGAAGCCAATCCAATGTTTGCAAAAAAAAAGAAGCCCAGGGCTTCAATTCGAGGTTTTACTGTATCACTGTTTCTGGACTCTACAAGTGCGTATACAAAAATAAACAATTAGGTATAAATTACTGATTAATTATAGCTAGTCCATGTCACATGATTTTTTAAAATGATCATTATATTAATATAAGTCGTTACAATATATTTGTATTAAGGATATTATATTAAAGCTAAATATCTCTTCAGTGCATTCTGCATCAAAAAAGTGTATGCCTTTTTCACAGACTTTTATGTTTAAAAAACTAAGTTAACTCTATGTCCCAATTCATGTTCCGAAGTTATCAGACACAATAAAATTCGTATTTAATATATGCTTGTAGATATTTAAGGTTTTTTTTCCAATAGAAATGTAGGTAGCAGTAGCAAGTACAATGTGTAACTGTGATTTATTGCTTGTTGAATAAATTATATATATTGTATGCACATGAAGTCTAAAATTTTGTGTCAAAGTGTCCCGAAGTTACCATGGAATTGTCCCCTGTGCATTTAAATAGGATGTCACGGTGTTACCGTCACAAAGTTACCAAAAAAGTAACGTCAGGACACTTTTTAAATTGCTATAATTTGTAAACGAAATAATTTTTTTTGTTCTATTCATGTTTATGTTGTTCACATATATGCTTATGATTTGAATAATAAATTTTCTTTTATTTTGTTAAGTACTTTTTGAGAAATAAAAAAAAATATTACTTTTTTGGTAACTTCGGGACATTTTATATGGTAGTTCATTGTCAAGTCGCTGTAGCGGAATGAAGTACGCAAAATAAAATAAATTCATGAATATACCACATATAATGTTAATAATTACTAATCCAATCAGTTATGTTGGTAATATATGTTAAAGAGCATAAATTAAACACTCTAAAAGTTGGCCTATTTTATTCATTTTTTTTGGGAAAAAATAATATTAATTGTATTTCTTATATAAAATTTAAGTGAGTATAAAAACTTGAAAACTAAGACCATTTCATGAAAGTTCAGAATTTCATCTTTAATTTGATACCAAATTTTGTAGGATACCACTATTTTAAAAATTTAGGTGCCATGTCCTGTTTTGCATGGAATTGCCCTATAGAATGTGAGTACCTTCCCATCTCATCCCCTTTAAGCTTTGCAGACCCTTGAATTAAAAATTAATATTGTATCTTTGCAGAAAAATACACACAATCTTGTTATTTTTCAGATTTTTGGCCATAGAAATGAACGTTAAAATTCAAATAAATGATCACACATCAAGGTGAAATGAAATTTGTCATCTCCACAGCCACTTTTTTTCATTTTAAAACATTATCAGAGTGTTCTTATAAAAGAATTAAATTAAAAGGCAAGTACAAGGCAAAACCATTCTACTTTACACAGCCACTATACTAATACAGAAGAAGAGCTGGATCCAAGATTTGGAGGCAATGGAGCAATACCACATTTTCAGATTACTTCTATACCTTTCGATTTTTTGAGTTATTTTATTTTTATTTCTTATATTGTAGATTCACTGAATAAACCAAGGAAAACTAGAAACGAAAAAACCATGTCTAAAGCCGCGTTTGCATTGGACTAATATTGAAGAAGTTGTAGTGCAAGTTTACCCTGACAAAATTGTACAACTATTGGTATTGGATTTAAAAACGCAGTAGATTTAACCAAATGTTGATGTTCGCATTTGCCTTTCCTACTCAGATACAACACCCAGATAATTCATCCAGGGCAACCTTTGCTTAGTTGATCGTTCATTTTGGCAATCAATTGAGAAAACAAATGACTGAAGCTCATCAGATTCTCTATGTAGTAGCTTTACAATACAGTTATTTGCCTCCAAAATTGCCATTTAATAGGATATGATGCTGCTCCAGCTAATCATGGAACAGTGGTGCTAATGCATGAACATAAGCAATTTTGGAGGCAATTTTACACAAATGCTAACTAGACATCTCACCTAGCTTGCATGCTGATAAAGATTCTAAGAAGCAACATCAATCCCCTGCTAAGTTCTGCTTCAATTTGTCCATTAACAGGGCCTAAATCTTCATTGTAGTGGTTTAATCGAAACTTGAAGAATAACACAATCGTTGACAAGAAGTGGTGATCCAGGTGTCATGAGTTCCTCTAATGTCACTTTCTTATCGATCTCTGTGTCAACTTGATACCTTGTTTTCGAAAAATTCTTTTTTCCAGAGACTGTTCGTAATACAGCATTATTATTTACCAATGATAACAAGTACTCCATAGGTCTAGGCTGATCGAGAACTACGTTTGAATATAGGATGGCGCGGAAATCATCATTGTTTGAAGAGGATCCCTTCGGGTATATTTTGATCTCCCAGTCCCAGCTTGTGTGTGGATATGCTGATGAACGTGTGGAAAAACGGGGCATGACTTCCGAGACTTTGATGTACTGCGAATACCCTGTTAAAACTATACGCTTATCCCAACGCAAGTCTGTATAATTCCGTAGCAAGAATGAGGAGGTTGTGAAGTCTTTGATACTGGCACGATGCTCAAGAGGTAAAGAGTTGAACTTATACGCTTGCAGGAGTAAGGGTAGAAACAGATCTTTATGTTGTTCGATGATTTTGTGATGTTCAAGCTTGTCAAGATGATCGGGGGTCATCATGGGGAAACGAATAAAATGCATTAACTCGCGCAAAAGTTTTTCGCTGTTTTGTAGTCGGTCTGGATGTGTTGGTGACTCTATCCATTTCACTACCGCATAAAATAAAGTGATCTCATTTCGGATTGTCAAGTCAGAACTGCGTAAAAACTCTATCAATTGTTCTTTGTCAAGATTCAACCATTCGTGACTCCATTCAGGCATCGACATAATATCGTCTGCCTTTGGAGAGAGCGCTTGTATACAGTTTGCGATCAACCTCTGATGATAGCACTTTGTTGCATACTGGTACCAAATATGAAACACATCTTTAAGCTGAAGCTTTGGTATAATGTTAGTCATTGCAAAATGGATGCACACTCGTCGAAGATCCGCGACATTGTACTTGTCGGCTAGCATGAGGGCAGGCAGGGCATTTTCAGCAGTTAGTACGATGTGACAGCCGTATAAGAAACGTAAGAATGACGGAAAAACCTTGACACATTCTGGTTCTTCAACAAGCTCTAACTCCTATGGAAATACAAAAAAAAAGATGATAAATTCAAAAGTTGAAATGTATAGCTCTGTCACACTATAAAAAAATTCTGTGAAAAATATCTGTGATCTGATCTGGGCACTTATTTATGTGTTTTATGAGACAATGAAATGAATATCTTATTATTTTTAGAAAAGGACTTGGCGTATTGCTCAACTTATCATCAAGGAGGAGCTGCATTGTTGGCTGCTGGGGGGGTCAGTGACTCTAGCTATTCGGTGATGAGGGAGACACTATGTGACATGGGCTGACAATTTCCGATGGCGGCCAGTGGGGTCTAGTGCGCATAGAGAAACTGGGCAAGCTTTGGCCATTTTAAGGTGTTCTTTAAGGGGTTCAAGAATGCATTATGACCAAGGGTGGACCTGAACCTACCCACCCCCTTTCCCCTCAAACTGGCACTGACTCCTGTGTGTGTCCCAAGCTGAAGTTTCCTAGATTAGAACCAAAACAATAAATTACTAATAGGGATGGTGCCAATACTATTGTAGTTCGTATACCACACCATTTCCTTATCGTTAACGTCGGTAACCGCGTAAACGATGCTACTGCAATTACCTCACACTGTTTTTGGTAAAATACTGATTACCAATGGCAAGCCCTTAAATTTTACAAATCTCTGAAACATGAAACGCAATTATACAGAGCTTTGACATGGCTAGAATAAATCAAATGTTACAAATTGTTTCTAAATATATTTTCTTTCTACAGTATGCACATTTTGAACGAATTTACTAGTTTTGTTTGAGGTCAAAGAAACGGTGTCAGGAAAGAAGAAAAGAAATATTAATATCTTGGAAATCTGAATTATTTCCTAGTCGGATATTCTTATTTCTTTTGAAGGACATATGGACTCAGACTTAATAAATAATGCTAACTATTTTCTATGTAGGCTTGCAATGTATATCTGAATTTTTGCCAAGGTATGACAAACATCCTGTGTTATCTTCTCAAAACAATTTTTTTAGGCAATGACTATTGTTACACCAGTCTTGAATTCCTAATTCTTATTGAATGATATTCTTTGTATGGATTGGATTTGGAAAGTAACATCCAATCAGAATTAGACATTAACTTAAGACTGGCGTAATAATAGTGACTGTCCTTTTTTTTAAATAATAAAAATATATAATTAAATTCACAAAATTCAGATCTCTACCAAAACAAAATAGGGGGGGTCTTGCCGGACAAATATAAGAATAAAAAAAACTACAAAAATAAACATAATTTCTTACTTTTAAAACTTACTCAATGTTAATATCTACATTTACAAAAACCACAGAGCATTTGTGTAGCTTATGCATCCAAGTCAAATACTAATGTGATAAAAAAATATTTCTTAATTTTTGAGACAGCAAAAATATCAATTTCACTTTCCAGAAACAATACAACAGCTGTCGGCTACGAACAAACACAAAAAAAGGAAGATATCGATTGGTAAGACTTCATAATTATGTACATTAACGTTCAGATGAACAAACCACCGAAAATATCCTTTATTTGGAATTCATTGTTTGAACAGTGTTATTGCTGTGTGCATTCCAGCATGTAACACCTTTGGTATATCTTTTTAACACCCATTGTTCTCAATATATTAAATTGTATTTGTTTCTTCTTCTGTCAGATCAAATAATATTGGCAACTAGCAGCTTCTCAAGAAAGACAACCTTTTAAATAAATTTAAAGAACACTCTAACTATGGAAGCTAACAAAAATTATAATTTTCTACAGAGGCATTGTTTGAAATACCAGTGTTGGTGTGTAGTGTAAAGATAACATTTGGTAGTTTATAAAGATAATTTTCATAGTTGGGGAGACAATTTGTTTTTCTAGGCCTGGCCATGCTGATTGTATCAAATAATTATGATAATGAATTTAATCAAGGCTTTTTCTTACCCCTTTATTTGGATCAATCCAGTCAGCACTTAACATTCTTTCAAAGACTTCACTAGAACGCACAAGGATGAGTTTATGCGCGAAAAACGTATTCTCTCCAATGCGCAGTTTGATGTCGCTGAGAAGGCTGTTGTTATAGAATTTTTCCATATCGCTCAGAGATAGTCGTTCGTCGCCGTGACAATCCATCCCGCTCATTAGATTCTGGATCTCTGTTTCATCACTTGTCTCTTGGCCGACCATACTGGGAGAAATAGAAACTGGCGGCTGTGGTTGATGTGGGGGCGCCATGTAAATGGCTTGAAGAGCGGGGATGTCAAAGTTGCCTTGTGGGAAAGGCAAATTATTACCGCCACCACCTGCAGCCATTGCTCTGTAGCCTACAACACGAGGATCAGTCTGTAAACACAAAGAAAAGAAAATCAAATTAAAAAAATTAATCATTAAATTTTTGATGGATGATAATCGGTAATGAATAAAAAAAATCAAATACCGTAAATGCTCAAATAAGCGCCACGGCACTTATAAAATTTTTGGAGGCTTCAGTGCGACGCTAATTTCACGTATTCTCGTAAAGTCCTTCGGTAGGCCTATCTTAGGTCCTAGTCACGGTAAATAAACATTTACAAAGAAATGCTTGTGTCTTCATTGTGTTATTTATTAATTTTAACACTATATATTTTTAAAATCCTGTTTCTCAAAGTGTTTCACTACACTCGGGGTAACTATATACTCACGATTAAGCGCCACTGGGCTTATTTGAGTGTTTACGGTACGTATAAAAATAGTTGCTGATACACTCTGTGCTGCTAACGGCCACCAGCCAACAGGATTCCATAGAGAACGCAACAGATTGCTTTTAATGGTAATTCATTCATTCGGCTCTAGGCAAGATAACGACTTACGTTGGCTTTAAGCCACCTAAATATCAGGTGTGTCATTAATTTTTAACTCATTAGCTATCCACTCAAATGAAGTCTTATCTTAGGTTCATCCTTATAAGAGAATAAATCTACCATAAATAATTCTTTTTCATTTACTCCCTATGCTTTTTTTGCCTTGCAGTTTAAATGCCCCAATAACTTTTATCATTTTTTGTTGTAGATGGTTCCTTTACAGTAATACAGGATTACATTACTTTTGTTAAAGAACACATTTTATAAGAACATCAAGGTGAAATTGCTTTAAAAAACATAACAAAATAAAAACAAATTGAGGCTGAGGTGACATGTCAAATGAGTTTTTTTTATTTAAAACAAACTAGAAAACCAGCTAGTCACATAGTGTACAGTAAAGTAAATTAATGTTTAAAAAAGTATCACCATTATATCTAAATATTATTAGAAGGTTTGCATGGTGAAGTAATAATATATATTAATACTTGCAGTACACCACTGAAAAGAACTGTTGTTTTTTGAGAATGTCTGACATTTTGATTGAGTTGCTTCAATCTTCTTCAAGAGAATATCATCTACAGAAAATTCCAAGCAGGGAAATATTTTTGTTTGGGTAGTGAGAATTGCTGCTGATTGGTGGAAAACTAAACAATAACTGAGACTACAGAACATCATACCAACTCTATTAATGTCATCAAATGTCATGTAAACTGAAGAAAATCGTGGAACGACACAAGATGATTGAGCTAAAATACATTTTCCCCCAATTTTAAGCCTGAAATTGGCAAAAAAAAAAAGACATAAGAACTGAGCCTGGGCAAATTTTCTCGTTTTTATATATAAAAAAAAAAATCAAAAACTAGTCCTGTATCAAGAAATATCGAATCTAGAGAATATAAAAACAAACTGATTGTATGCTTACAGGCATTTTCATTGTCTAACAAATTTATTGATAATATTTGTGACTTATTAACAATATGGAAATTCTTACTGCATGAGTGGATCCATAGAACAAAGACATTCCTAGGCAAAAAATAAATTTTCTTTTACTTGCGGTAATACCAACAGTCAAATTAATTAACAGACCTTTCTAACTGCTAAAATAAAAATACATGACTCTAATATAGAGTTACTAAAAAACATATCCTTACCATATTTAGACTGTTTTATCGAACCAGATTCAAATCAAAATGAGAGCTATTCCACAAAAAAAATTATTGCACACAAAGAAAACATTGAAGACAGCTGATAAAATTCCAGTTAATAAACTTAAATCCATGACATCACTCTATTTCCTCTAAAACAAAGGAATATTCCAGGATGAGTGATCAGGCTCCCTCCAATCCCCTACTGTTCCTATTATGAATTTCACATGTTGCGCTCAATACATACGATGACAGCCTAGTGAGACTGATTGGACAAGCACTGGACTAATAAATAAACCGTCGCACTGGCTCATATCTCCAACTGGCCTCTGATGCAGACAAAGATGAACTCGAAATCAATACTTTGTTACGCTTCAGTTCACGCATGAAATTAAATGGACAGTCAGTGTGCCCAATTATTTGTGGAAGGCCTACCAGGAAAAATAACTTTAAACTAGTCAATTGTAGTCAATGAACCATTACATGGAACAAAATGAACTTTTCCTAAAGGTGTAGAGAGACAATAAATTCAAACTTAAGCCAATCATAGCAGTAATAATATACCTAATTATAAGGAAAAATATTTTCCTGAGGTGTAGGTCTACTGCTAAAGACACAATCATTTTCAATTATAAGCCATGTATTTATTAAATAAACAAAATATAGTGTATAGGAACAATTGCAAATTTGGTCAATCATATGCAATGTATTTATTATTTATTTATTATACTATATTTTAAGAGGGTAACTCTTACAGCACAAAGCTGACTAGAAGAGCCCCTCACCACCAAATAATGAGGAATAAATATCCTATATTTTGTTCAGGGGCATACTTTAAACCTGGTCAATCATACAAGAACTTGAAATAAAAGACATATAACGCTAATTACTGTATGCCAAAGTTGTTATAGCAACAGAATATTTTTAGAATTGAATTTATCCCTGGTCTGTGGTATGTACAGTATAGGAATACTCGGACAGGGGTAGAGTGATTGGATGGCTCACATGGCAGACAGGGGGACATTCGAATGGTAAGTAGAGGGGCACAAGTTGGCAAGATACTGTAAGGTGATTTTTTACTCTGAACATACCAAATAAATTTCCAGTGGGAAGTGCCTGGTAGAGTGAAGTTCAAGATTTTTTTTTTTTGTAAAGAAAATTAACACAAAAAACTCACATTGGTTGGAGTGTATATTACAAAAAGTAAAAAATAAATCTACGGATTGTCCAAGAATGTTTTATTAACATAATTACAAAAGAAGAAAAAGAAGATCTATAGCAAACCTTGATTTTCCTAGACAGATACATCATCAACTTAATATGATTGACACTTATCTTGAAATGAACATAATCAGTAATGAACAAGGCCTTTTGGTCAACTGGGACAAAGGATCCAAGTTCCAAATCCCAGCTGACATTAAACACACACTTTAGTAGAGAGCAAACAGACAATTGTTGCCTCAATATACAATGACAGAGAGACAAGATGGTTGGTATACAGTAATAATCTTTGTTTGTATTAATCATGTATACAAAGGAAAGTTTTACTTAGAAAAAATCTAGTCTACTTGAAATTTAGACTATAAAAAGCGAAACTTGCATTTTGCCACTGAAACTGATAGCTACTGAAATTGTCATGTTTCACTTTTTATACAAATTACAAGTCTACCATTAAATATCAAAGAACACTTAACGTCAGTATAAATTTTATTAATTAAAATAACATAACTATAAAGTAGGTCCAATAATAATAGAAAAAGTGCCAATTTCTATATTACTGCTAAGAAGTGGAATAAAATTAATAAAGATAATAAAATTAGAAAATAAAAGAAAAGTGACTCCAAATAGAGAAAGTGGAGGTCATACTAACTCAAAGTTTTGTCTTTATTAACTCATCATCAGTAATAACATATTTACAAAACTGAGAATATAAAAAAATGCTACTGCAGTATGTACATATAATTAATGAAAGAACCATAAGATAATAAGTAACAAATATAATAATAGTTATAATAAAATTAGTCACTGAGACTAACTTAAAATTCTAAAATAAATAATTTAGTAAACCATACACAACGTCTTAAGTTAAATACAATGGAGAATAAAAAATTTCTATATACTTTCCACCTACCATCTCAAAGGGCAATTCAACCTCCTTGCTACCATCTGTATCTCCTCACCCAAGTGGAAGCTGAAAGCTAGAGTCAATTACTATACCTCTTATCTATGTCCCCTGGAAGGCCACAAACTTGGATCACAAATAGCCAGTAGGGGACTACCAATAAACTATTGAGTGTATACCAAACAAAGACAGTGACAAAGACAAAATCAGTTACCCTACAAAAGTCATTGAAAATGAGGTTATCTTTAAGAAAAACTAACCTTAATAAAGTAACAATTATCTAAGTAATCGCAGGAAAGGCTGTCTAGAAAAACTCAACTCTCGATCTGATTGGTGACTAAACTTCCTCTCGTGGCCAGACTGCGTCACATGACTAACTTTTCAGAATTGTGTGACGTTTAACTTTGAAGTAGGAATCAGTGCTGTATAGTTGGTTGTTATCGTTACCATCAGCTGGGAAGGTTGAGACTGTGCTTTAAAATACATTTAGCAATGTACAGTAATAGGACACTTGGTTTGAGGAATTCTTAGTGTCAAGTATGGAATGCAACAGATATTCTGAAGCTGACAAACTACTGACAAAGTAAACAGCAGGCTAAAGTTATGACAAACAAAGGGATTAAAAGTGATTTAGGCCCTATAAAAAATATTTTTTATAGGGCCTAGTTTATCACCTTATCTAGACTGGAAAAGTGATAAAGGGAGGGAGGCTTTTTTATTATTATTATTTTGCTAAAGCCAAATATCACCCTTGGGTTGTTTGCTAGTGCATTGACATTCAAAATAAAACATGATTAAGACAATACAAGCAATATCTACTAACTACAGTATTTAATTTTAAAAAAAATGAAAAATATAGTTTTTTTAAAAAGAAAAAAAAATCTTTTTTTCAAAAAAAAAAAAAAAAAAAAAAAAAATTTCAAAATACTTTCTTTTTCAGTACCCTAGAAGACATGCAAGGATGATAAAATAATTCTTTTTATTGGGCCTTATCACGTAATATTTATTGAGTTTAAATTTCACTGCCTCCTAAAATTAAAAAAAGATTCAAAATAATGTTTAAAATACTAAAAAAAAAAATCATAATGAATAGTAAGTTTTTATTTCATGTGTTCAATTTGAGTTTTATATAATTTTACTTTATTGATAATATTTTAAGCTCTATGCTACAGTATGCTAATTTGAAACAGACATAAGTGGAATTTTTTATTTTTGTGTTATGCAATACCTCAATGGTTAATAAAAAAAAAACAACAAAATAAATATCAGACATACAGTATAATCAAAAGAAAATATAAGTTTCTTCTATTTTCTTTGTTTATTGAAGGCTAAATAAGATAAGAACAGAAGGTAGGGCACTCTCTCCAAGAAAAAAAAATTAAAGAATTTTACATTCTTGGTAAAATATATCAGTTTATTTTAAAGTACATTAGCCTAAAAAAAAGAACTTCGGAAATTAATTGGGCCTATAGTCCCTCTATGATCACAAACATGCATACTGGTGTCCAAAGGGAATTATGGAAATTAATAATTTACAAAATACCTCATTGGGCCTACAGTATTTGAGGGAACAAAGAAATTCCTGATGCGTGTCAGATTTGGTTGTCGTCGGTGAATTTGGACAGGTTCAACCATGTTCAACAGACTCAAACGATTGCATGACAGAACCCTGTGGTGTTGAAAATCCGGGTGAAAATAGCCTACGATATTAATAGCAATGTTACCATAGCTTCGGAAACAATTAAAAAAATAATCAAGGAGAGCATTACAGTTTACATCACTGGCAGGCAAAGTGTGGTCCAACAGCAAATGTGCCCTGTGTACAGACCGTCTACCATCTTTGGGTAGAAAATCCTTTGTTTTTATGGCCCAATACAAATTTGTAAACAAGTATATATTGAAACTGAGCATAAAGTGGTATAAAAGCAGTTGATACAGGTTTCTAGAAATCTCAAAAGTTTATTTGCAGCCTTCAGTGTAAATCTAAAATTCACTTTGGCCCTCCGACCCATTTTTATGCCCACCCCTTATTTTCATTATGTAGTGTTCGAGATTAAGTACGGTAGGCCTTAATTAACATAACTGTTACCAAATAAATTCATCATTCATGTTAACTCTATTAAGATAACACATTTTTATAAACAGCAAATTTTAATTTGGAAAATAGGGTAAAAATTTGTTTTCTTCACTCAGACAAAATCTGCTGATTTGAACCCAAATCTGGCTGGCGACACTGGAAGCTAAGCTCAGAATTACAGTACCAAGCTTCACGTTAGCTCTACTGGAGTGAACAGGTATTTAAAAAACAAACACGTTCATAGTATCAAATACTGTACAGAAAAAAACAGGATATGAAAACTTACAGTGATTATAAAATACAGAATATGTATACCTTGTGCAACAAAAGTTGCAGAACGATGTCGCACACTTGTTAGACTGTAAATGTATACAACGGTATTACAAGGAAAAACACAATACCTAGTAAAGGTAAAGATATGAAAACTACTGTTAGTGGCTTACCATGGAGAATGATAATGAAATCCTACTGAACAATGAACAATACAAAGGCTGTTGCATCAACAATATGATGAATAATTATATCATCAAGGCTGTCGGAGTGCACACGACATGATCTACTGCAGGCAAGTAGTGGAACTAAGCCAGAACATACTCTATGCTACTAGCCAGAATAAAATTACAACACTTGGCAAAGAGAAAATCATTAATGTAATTTACTAATGGCCATCCCGAGGGATGGAGAATCATAATGCAATGCATCATTTCTTAGTCCGTACTTTAAGTGGTAATATAGCGATGGCTATGATTTGTTTAAGTGCATCATTATCATCAACATATTCAGACATTACATTTAAACGAGCTATTCAATTATTGAATGCAGACTGATTTCGATGTCAAAGGGCATGATACAATCCCACTTGTCATAATCTTCAATGTCAAGTTGATGTTCATTGAGAGCAAACCGATAAAAATATAATTGCAGTGTCTTATTCTTTGAAATGATTTAAAAAAAGATTAAAAACATCCGGAGGGATAAAAAGCTGATATGTTGTACAACAACTAGACAAAAAAGGTGGTTAGATAAAAAACTAGGGAACTGGTAATGAGATCTATACATATTTTAACATTATTTAACACCCTTTTGTGAAAAATCAGATAGTAGAACTTAAAGATTTCTTTGCTGGATTGAAAAAGACAAATCTAAGAGGTCTACATTCAAAAAGATAACTTTCTGTAATTCTATTTTCCTACTAAGTACTCCAAGATTTTTTTATTTATTTTTTTTATTGGAATAGAGGAATATATATATATATATATAAAAAGAAAACTATAAACATAATAAAAGGGGAGGTAAGCCTAAAAACAGTCACGGTACTTCAAGAATGATTCTAATTGAAAAGTCATGCAATTCCTCTTCGACAGAGCAACCCTGAATCCACACCCCTCCACCTCAGGCAAATGCTGGTACTGCCACTGTGAACAGGTAACATCCGGCACAAAACTTACAAGGTCGAATGTGAAAAACTAAAATACAATAATTATAAAACAGGTGTTATTGGAACTACAGACGGCCTACTCCGTAATAGTGTAAATCACTTTTAAAGAGAATCCCACAAAGAAACAATGTGACTTGAAACAAACCCCTTAATAATACAAATCACATCATATACCTTACATATTATTAATTCATTCATGAATTATGAATTGCATCAAGGGATAAATCAACTTGAAAGCAACAGCTGGGGAAGGTGATAATTCAAGAAGAATCAAAACAGAGAGAGATGGTGAATCTATATTAATGATAAATCAAAGCATATGTATGCCTGCCAGAAGCTCAGTTTGTTGGAATGTTGATTAAATCAACATTTTACAATTTGATTGTTGAAATGCCCCATTTTTAGCCTGCCTACTGTATGTGTCAAATCCTCAAAATTAATTAGAAATAATAATAATAATAATAATAATATGTTTTAATTTATATAAATCTCCAATCTAAAAGTACTTTTACAAAAATATCAGTAGAATGTTTGTATTTGGCAAGAACAAGATTTTCTTGATAATTTTTATTTCATACAATAACTTTACTTTATAACTTACACACCAATTTCAATTTTGCTGTTTAACTTTTATTGTGATCCAATATGATTGAATTCAATATTGTGTAAAAAATTTAGCTGTTTATAATTTTAATCTGTTGTAAATTTGTATTATTGTCTATTTTATTGTAATGTGCATTTAATATGTATATATTTTAATGGAATTTGCACAATATTAATTTATAAATTATTATTATTACTACTGTACGCAAACAGTATAACTTAATCAGGCCTACAAATAGAGTGTAATGTACCTGCTCTTGGGATTATAGAAAGTTTGGCAGGTAAGCAAGATGGATTTGCTCCAAATTGGCACATCATGTGAATCAATTCAAAACAGGTCACCATCCTTATTTATATACAGTGACAGAACTAAATTATTAGTTAATATTGATTCACATAGGGCCAGCATTGGCAAGCAATCAAATACTGACTTGTCAACAAAGTACTGCAGTACATCAAAACAATATTCATCTGTTAGGATCTTATTTAGTAGGGCCTAGACTCCATCAGGAAAAACGCCAATCACTATTTGTCTGGGAACACTTTTTTCGAAAAGTATTTTTAAAAAAGAGTGCCATCTCTGGGCATCTAGATACTGTATGCCTATTCTTAAAATTTTATCCAAACACGGTAGGGCTGAAGTAGATGTGGACCTCTCAATAGGGACCTTGGAGAGCTCTTTCGGGGAACCTCCAACGGAACTACTGAATAGATGACCACAGGACTGGCTAACTGACTCACAATCATGATGTACAAAATGCCTGTAACATTATATTACTTAAGGGGGTTTCTTATTGAAAGCCAATTCTAAGCGGCCTGCTGGGATCCAGGGGGAAAACTCTAGTGGGAGTTAGGTGACCCCGCCCCCGGAACAAAAGTAGCATGAAAATGGTGAATTTCATTATCATATTGGTGTTGTTTATGCAAAGAGGTGGTGTGGTTTGCTTCTAGGTGGTTCAACCAAGTCCCAGGAAAATCACATTGAAAAAAAAATTAGAGAAATTTCTGAGATGTACTGACATACTTTTAATAGCAGTAGTAGTATTCATTTTATTGATTAAAAAACCTACTGTACAATATTCACAAAATATATACTGTAATTTACAATCTAGTTTTGAGAGTAAAATTACTACAGTTGCAGTTACAACATTAATTAAAAGAATAAAAAATACCGTAAATTATTTCCATAAAAGTAAGTTAGCTCGGAACATAGAGGAAGGACTTGTAGAAGTCCATTGTACAAAGTCTTCACAATGTGTGGTACAGTGGCCAGTTCCTTTCCCCACTGCTTTTTTAATATCAGTATTTCAACTAGCAAGTGATCTGCTAGCTGGGAAATTAACCCGGGTCATCAGTATGACAAGTGTCTTACCCACTTGGACACTGCGACTACTTATATAATCTTCATTAAAATTCAATAATAATACCAATAGTACAACAATAATAATAATAATAATAATAATAATAATATTAATAATAATAATAATAATACCAGTGACATAATTATAAGAATAATAAACCAATAATAAAGATAATAATAATAATAATAATAATATTAATAACAATAACAAACTGTAATTAGAGTTCTACTATATGAATTGACATATAAACATTATTATTATTATTATATGCTAATGATAACAAAATGAAATAACAATTAAATAAGTATAATTTATAAGGTAATGATTGTCTTTAACAGCACAGGTATCTACCAACCACTGGTGGCTCAAGATACATTGTAACTATTGCTCATTGAATACATTATACAGGTCATGCATATTAATGTGTATCCCTTCACTCCACGGGGAGTATTCCTAGTTGTGCAGCTAGCTAATAACTAGACAAATTTTACTCACTCGAAATCGTTCATATCACATCAAGTACCCAATTATATTACTGGTGGGAAACACATAATTAAAATATAATAATAAATAAGATATATATATAGCGCACATATCCAGTTTAGAAAGTGCTCAAGGCATTAGAGGCAGAGCATGGAAAACTGGAAAAATTTAAAGAATGGAAATTAACCCCATACAGTAATACCAACCTGAGAGATTTGAAATGCGAGACTATACCAGTTGGGTGGGTGGTGCCACCAGGGGTCCAGGGGCGGAACCCCTGCAGAGGTTCGGGTTCCATTCACGTAATCAAAGGTTGGTTGTAACAATGAACTCGCAAAACTGCAAGCGACTACAAGTGCGTGGTTGGCTGGGTTGTTTTGGTCGGGAAAGAGAAATTTACTCTATTTGAATTGATTCTCAAACGAGATATCGAAAGCTCTCTAATGACTCAAGCTATTGTTATGATATTTTTAATAAAACATATTTCTTCTAATTTAAAATATATTTTCCCCTGAATTTGTGATAATTTGTTATCACGCATGTGCTAAATGCGTGACACATTTATGATCTTGCATGTGTTTCTGCAAAATGCGTGTTTCATCCAAAATCACTTTGAAATGTAGGGCCGTCCCGCACAATGCGAGACCGTTGGTAACTATGTAACCCACGAAATTTCCTAAACTAACTAGGAAAAAATAAACATAAGAAACCAGCATCACTGCTTTGTTTACCCATTTAGCAGCACTTTGAAGACCTCAAGAACAATAGCATTTTATATTTTCTTGATTTCTTATTTATGTCATTCCAAATTTGGAATTAGAAATTTTCATTGGGCCCCTGCGGCGCTATGTTGCGGTACTAGTACCAACTTCTCCCTCATCCTGTAAATTATTCACGGAGTTGAGCACATTGAAAATCAACGCTAGCCGGATTTGAATCAGTATACTTTAGCAAAAGAAGCAGGACTGCCAAGCAGAACAATTACATTAAAAGTCTAAAGCTTTTACCATTTCGCCAAATACATTAATTCCTATACAATCACTTGAGATTTCTTGACAGGATATCATTTTTTAAGGTTAGTCAATTTGTCCAATTTCAATTTCAAATACAGCATCTTCATTTCATGTTCTTGTTCCGCATGAGTGAATTGGTGGTGCAAGATATCCATTTTCTTTTTATGTTCTTCGGTTTGAAATCGTATCTTATCTTCTAAAAGTCTAATTTCCATTTCCTGTGTTCGATTGTCAAGTTCACTTCGCATTTGTTGGCAATCTTTATTCAAATGATCATCGTTTTCTGAAGGTAAGTGATGAGTTGCTCCGACAGTTGATACAACAGGAGGATCGGATGTCAGAGAGTTTGACGTTCCTACTATGCTTTCAGACGACATCTCATCCTCATTATCCTCTTCCCATTCAGTTTTCATAGCAGCCAGTAGCTGGTCTCGGTTTGGACTCACTGCTTGTATTGCGTCTGGAACTACTTTGTTTGCTGTATGCGTATTATTAGCTGCTGCAAGTAAAAAGGTTTCCATTTACAGTTAGTTATTTATAAATCACAGAAAAATATCAACTTAATTAACAGACCAGTTTGCAAATCTTTCAATACATTAAAAATAAAATAATTGAATTATTTGTTAAACAATTTTTTGGTTCATTATGATCCACAAGAGAAATATTAGGAATGGGGAAAATGTAAGACCTCAGGGTCTGTTTCTTGAGGTAGAGAACAGTTTTTGGTTTACTGTACAACCCTGGAAAGAAGTCAATGAGGTGTTTATATTAAAGAACACCTAAATTATCATTGATTATCAGCCTGGGACTAGAAATCAAGTATTATAGCTAGAGAACTAGAGGAAGACTGCCCCTCCACTTCCATAACGAAACAGAGACACAATTGTATGCATTCCCTTACATTTAAATTCATTACAAAAAAAAAATCAGGATTCATTTTATACTGTAATTAAAAATTAACAATTAATTAAAGATTCATTAAAATTAAGAAATACAAACCTATCATTTGTGACAGTATTTCCTCATTTTCAACCGATTCAGTTATGTCAGCAAAATGTTGCGGAAGCATTTGTATGATCTTCGCATGTTCTCTCCGAAGGCTTTCCAGTGGTTGTCCGTCAGCAGATCGCGATAAACTTCGTAGGCAGCTTTTCTTTGCCCGGGCCTTCATATTTGCCCAGCATTTGCGTAGCTGGGCTGATGATTTTTTAGAGCATATATGTTCTTCATTAAACTCTCTGGCGATTTTCTCCCAGATAACAGACTTTTGCTCAATCATTTTAAAATCCTTACTCTCTACTATGTCCATGTATTTGTTGACCAACTCCAGCAAGAATTCTTTCTCAAAATCAGTAACTTTTTTAATGATGGCCATTATTTTGATAATATAAAGGACCATTCAGAGCAGAAATTTACCAGAGTACTGTGGATGGGAAGACAGGTAATATCATTTTAAATAACTTCCTCTTTAATACATTCTTCTATTTGGGTACAGAAAACAAGTATTGATGGCTGAATTTCATTTTAGGAATGACTATTTAGAATTTGTAGGGTAATGGAATCTTCTGTTTAAAAATGAATGATCATTGCGAAGCAGGACACTGCCCTTGTACCCATACAGTACTTTGGTAACTCCTTCAATCTGAAGTAAATTTAAACATATTTAATTTGAAGAAAATTATATTTTATAAAACTACCATAATAACAATGAACAATACAAGAAAGATGTGAAAAATAGACCTATACATTCTATGGTGTGTTCATAGCATGTAATAATAATAACACAATTTTTTAGCTTTAGTTCATGACTGTATAAAAAATTAATAATAAGAAAAGAAAACATTCAGCATAAAATTTCCATTTATGTGCATTTTCTATGCATCTACATTTTAACTTTTTGTGTGCAGAAAATTATTTGAATATAAGTGTTGGAAAACCTATATTGTACTATACACCTTCGTCAAAAATAAAATGCAAAAAATACCTTTCTTATATTTCTTTGTACAAGCAAGGAGCTGCTATCTTACAGCACCATTTGTTGTACACCAAACACACAAAAAAAAATATAAAAAAAAATCACAATAATAAAAATCACAAATAATAGATTCAAGGTTTGATTATACGTAGCAAGAAGAGAACTACATAATTATATAGATTGATCGAAAGCTTGTTTCCATAAATAAAGAAAGGTGCTCCCCCCCGGGATAAACCGGACTATGTGCGCCCAGCTGTCAACAAACAAAATTGTTTAAAACAACAAATAAGAGGCTTTATAAAGTCTAGGCCTAGAGCCATTGACAGACAGGCTCCTCATGCATGATTGGTTGGGTATGTTTCTGTGTTTATATCATCATTTCAATTTCATACATATCAATCATCGACAAAAAGTACAGAACTGAAACACAAAAATTCATTCAACAGAAAGTGACACACTTACCTTTAAAATGTTCCCTATTTTCACCTTTATCACCAATCAATAAATTATGGCATTCAGACCATCATATGCATGGTAATTGTTAATGACAACAAAAATATTAAATCAGAATCTGTCTCTGCAATAGAGATTTTTAGAGGCCTAACAAATTGACCTAAACATATTTTCCTTGACCTTTTCATTAACATTTAATGTATACAAGTATAATTTCAGCCACTGTATTTTAAAGTTAAAATATTTACTCAATATTATATATACTAATCATATTAAATCTATAATTATTATTTTTATATAATGTTTATTTGTTAATGGCCTATTATTATTGTTAATTATTTGAAAACGTGAACAAGGCCCATCATTAAACAAGATGGCTGCGTCCATCATAACGAAAGGTGCTCTCGGATGCTCCTTGCTTTTACGGCAAAACAATGTTTTTAGGTTGTCTAGAGGAGGATCGTGTAACAACTGCAAAAATGTGAGGAATTTGGTTAAACGTTATTATTATGTTACATCATGGGAGGTTGCAGGAGATACTATCGAGACAGAGGCTAAAGTCGGCGACAGGTAGGCCTAGGCCAAAAATCATTGCCATTTTGATTGAACAGCACCTACGACGATGCAGCAGGGAGCCGGGAGCAGGAGCATGCAAGGGCCCAGGCTAAGCGCTATAATAATATAACACAAGGCTTAGGCCAATACCCTACAGCAGGGTATTCCAAAATATCGTAGTAACTAAAAGGTTTCTTGTCAAAATCTGTCTAGGTGCTATTTGAATTAGTAATATTTTACACGAACCAAACAAAGAGTGGCTCATTCATTCATTATTTATTTAGCCAATGAAATAACATACAATACAATGAAAGGAAATTTAACAAAAACTAAGACAATATTATAACCTAAGTTGGCTAGGATTAACTATAGTGTTAAAAACACTCTAGCTCTCAGGCCTGTTAGTCCGGTCTTAGGATTTTTTAACATAGATATATACAGACAATGATTAAATTAAACAACAATGTAAGTAAAATAAATTGAAAAGCAAAGCATATAACATAAAGTAATATTAATAAAGTAATATGAAAGGTGACATGAAAATAAACAAATACAAATTAAAGTAAATCAAAACTTCATTTTTAAAAGGCAAGCCAGTTTAGAGGGATGTATATTATTCAATGCTTAAAATACAGTAATTACCATTACAGAACAATTTGAAAATTAGAGAATGAGAAAAAAAAAACAAAAACAAAAAAAAAAACAAAAAAAAACAAGGTAACCAAACAATAACCTACAGGTATAAAGAAAAATAAGGACGGATGATTTAGTGATATTAAAGAAAAAAACAATACAGTACCCATGACGTAAAAAAATTAAAATGTTATTACCATGGATTTTTATTTTAAAGAATTTTAGACCATATAACCGGATGCCACTGTTTTAGCGGATGTGAGGTCGAGCAAGTCTGATCTTGAGCAGAATCGGAGTCCTTTCATCAATAGAAAACCTATGGGACCAAAACTTTCTAATTGAACACAATTTGTAAGGGTCGAGGGGCTAAAAACAACTATATCTCTGAGCACATTTTCAAAATTATACAATAACGACTTACTTCACCCCCCAGTTTATGGTGGAACACTAATGAGTAAGAACTATATAGCTGGTTAAATTTGTAAATCTTTTTTTTTTTTCAGAACAATTAAAATATCATCTGGAAGACTTGCAAGGTTCGCAGATGGGAGTGCCGTCGTTCGGGTATATTAATGGTTTCAAATAATAATTGAGGACAATTACATATAATAGACAAATATGGGGAAACATTTTATAGTATAAATTTAGTTTTGTCACATATACATCGATTGACTTTTTAAACACTTTCGATCTACCTTGCTTAATGTATGTGCCTGAATTGGACTCTTTCAATAATCTTGATTTTGAGTTTTTTTTTTTTTACAGTTAGAAATAATAAAAGGTAATAATGATAAAATGGCATTAGTGTTATAATAATTCTGTTATATAACATTGAAAAAGCTTCTACATCATGAAATAACAGTAGTCCAAGTAATTAATTGTTTCATGATTAACCATAACTCATGTACAAATATTCACAGATATTGAGTGTTCCCAAAAATTGCTACCAAACGTCGTCAGCAGCTGTTTGCGATGCTCGGCAGTGATTTAATAGAGACCATTCTTTACCTAGATTGCTAAACGATAACAATGTAATTTTTTTCCTTTTTAAGATTGGTGATACATCTGTTTTAGTTACAGCAGTCAGTAAAACCAAACCAATGCAGTCTGGGTTTGTGCCTTTAACAGTAAGAAGGTTTAATCTAATCCAAATATTTAGTAATATTTTTAATAATATAACTTCTTTTCTCTACTTTGTACTATTGTTCCTAGTTAAACAATGCTTTATCTATTCTTACATTGATACATTAACTATTCAATCAATCAGTCAATCAATCAACAAGAATTTATATAGCACTAATATTCACAACAGAATGCCATGTTCAGTGGCGCTATGACAATCGTACTTACTCAAATTGCTATAGAGGTTAATTATGAATGCTTGTAATATTATGGACAATTTCAAAAAATAAAATAATAAAATAAAAAGAAAACAAAAAACAAACAACATTATATACATTTGAAAATCAAATCACACTCTGTTGTGTCCAGCATAACCTTTGTCATGGTACTTTCCAGGTGGACTACAGGGAAAAAGCGGCTGCTGCTGGGAGAATTCCTACAAACCATCTACGGAGAGAAATGGGTCAGACCGACAGTGAGATTCTGACAAGTAGGTTAATAGGTAAGTCAGATTTGATTTGTTTTGTTTACATCATACCAATCAATGATAAGGCTAAGGATAATGATTCACTTGTTACTCACAGTGTCATTGTGATGAAATGCATATTGGCATGGCCAATGAATATCATACAGTACTGTTCACAGCTCTTTCGCCCTTACTCGAGTATTTCACATGATAGCGTGTGAAGTTCCAGTAACAATATTCTTTGATTGTTTTACCTCTATTTATTACTGAACTATTTCCATATATTTAATTGTCTGATCAATTTTTAACATTGTTGTATAGATTTATAAGTGTATAGTATCATAAGCATGATTTGATTTTAATGTAATTTATTATCATTCCATGTTTGTAAATTTATTTCATGTGGCTGGCCTTATTGCAATATAAAATGAAATCTGAATGAAGTAGAATCAAATTCATTTTGATTCTAATAAATATTACACCATAGGGAGATTTTGTTAAAATAAGTGGTACAGCACATTAGTTAGTAAAACATGGGTTATGACATTGACCTGGTTATTTTTCAAGGAAAAAGCACATTATAAATGCCTGTACCAGTACCAGTTGGTATCACTGTTTCATCATCAGCTCGATAGAAGGCAGGTTGGAAAAAGTGTGGACGACAATATTGGCAGATGATTTGTGATGCCAACAATGTAAAGCGTATGGCCTTCTGCACAAAGGTGTTAGCCGTTGGGGACAAGTTTGAAAATGTAATTTGGACTGATTAAACCAGCATCCATCTGGATCAACATGGGAGTTTCTCATTCCATAAGGTTGGTGAAGAGCCGACACTACACCCAAGGCCAAGCGTCCAGTCAAAGTGCATGTGTATGGATGTCGAATTCTACTTGAAGGAGATTCTGGGAGGTACCCTTCTGCCATTTATCAATGTGTATTTCCCCGAGTCGCACCATTTTCAGCAAGATTACGACCCGAAGCATACCAGCCATCTTTTTTGCCACTACATGCAAACACATGGCATTAACAGGTGGCAAACACCCCCGGAGTCCCCATCTCAACCCTATCAAAAATATATGGCATCAGCTGAAACATGTTCATCGCTTTGTCAAGCAAAAAGTTAAGAAAGAGCTGGTACTGTAGATGGGATAGCAATTTGGTGGAATACAACTTTTACACCTAAGCTGTGCTTCAGTTACACCAGGCATATTGACAAAGTGATTCCTGTCATCATCGAAAGAGAGGAGCGAGCTTCTGGAACAGGTGTATTTATGAAGAGACACCAGCACAACGTGAGGATGATCTTGCAGCGATAAAGGGCTATATTGACGAAAAGCTGGTGGAAGCTTCTGCTTGGTTTAGAGAATTTGAAGACCACATGACCAGGCTCAAATCTAGCCTTATCACCAAGTGTCCGAGCTACGAGAGCAACAAGGAAATATATGTAAAACTCTGTAGCCATTAAAAATGATTTACTCTGTAAAGAAACAGTGGCAGAAGTTCAGAGATGGGCCTTTTTAGAAAACTCTTCAATAAAGACAAGATTGAAAATTTAATATAAAAAATATATTGATAAAAAAAAAAATGTATGCATTAGCGCCAACATAATATAAATAAGAACAATAAAATAACAACACATAGTGAATAAAAACAATAAGTTTGTACAGTGTGTTATGGTGCCTCTGCCTTTGTGCTGGTTCAAGACACTCTTAGCTCAATGGACAGACAGTTGGACCTTTCTTCTATAAATTCAAAAACTGGAGATCATGTCTACGCATCTGGTTTGTGCACTTTTTCTCTCAGGCCTCCTCAAAGAATATTTGCATTTATACTTTTGTACTGTAGTTACATTACAATCATTTTGTCACATTTTAACTTATGTTGTTTAAATTGTGTCGCAATACATTTCCAATTACAGATCGATGCATTAGACCACTTTTTCCAAAAGGATATTCTTATGATACACAGGTAGGAATATTTTTATGGGTTGATAGGCATGCGGGAATTGAAGTTGTTATTATAAAATTGTTATTATTTATGAGAGAGAGAGATTTAGTCAGGAAAAAATAACCATAATTTTTTAACATTTTTGTTCAAAAAATTATCTACTTGGGGCTTTTTGGTTAAGATCCTCACCTTTCAAACTCCATGTTCTTGGGTTAAAATTCTGTCAACAACAGATTTTTTCTTTAGCTTAGATAAACTACTGTATTATCTAACCTCATAATTAGAATTATTTAGAGAGTATTACCTCCAACCGGCAATATGCAAAGAGTATACAAAAAGAGAAATTTCAGAGATTATTATATAAATACCTTTCATGTCTTTCTTGCATTCCAGATAATTTGCAATATTCTAGCTGTTGATGGTTTTTATGATCCGGATGTTATCAGTATTAATGCTGGTGAGCTCTTTCAGAATCTTGATTAACCACTGAGTAATAATAAGTGTAAAACCCTGGATATAATTCATCCCAATATCAATTGATCCTTGGATGATTTTGTCACAGGAAAAATTAATCTCCAGGATTAATGCATTCCTCTGTGAATTACTCCTTAAATGATTTAATCCCCAGATTAATTTATTTCTGGGTGTAGTAATCTCTTGATAAATGCCTACATGAAGAAATCTCTGGATGAATTAATCCCTAGATGTATTTTTTATGAATGAAATCTCTAATTTTTTTCTGTAATTTGTATTTGTACCAAATGATCAGCTTCTGCTGCATGGTTCACCATCATTAAATATGATTCTAAGAAATAAATAAATAAATAAAATAGATGAATTAATCTCTGGATGTATTATAATAATTTGCACATGGGCAACCTGTTTTCATGAAGAGCTTGCAAAACCATTTTATCTGTCTCTATTCAATTAAATATTTATGGTAAAGTATTTAAGATGAAAATAGTGATAACAAAAATGCTAAAAATTATATTAACATTTTTATATATGATAATCTCTTTGCAGCTTCAGCGGCCATTTCTATGTCTGATATACCCTGGAATGGCCCCATTGCAGCCGTCAGGGTTGGAAGAGTTGACGAGGAGTTCATTTTGAATCCCACACGTCAGGAACTGAAAAAAAGCGATCTGAACATGGTAGTTGCTGGCTCCAAAAAGAGTAATGTTGGTAAGGTGCCCTCTAGAGGAGTATATGCACTTTAATATGTAAATGTATGTAAATATTATGTTAATATATGTAAATATGTAAATGTATTAATGTACATGTGTGGTGATTCTAGTAATTCAACTTACAATATGATAAAATTCAACTTTTATACATTTTTTGTTTACATTTCTTGATTAGTTATGATTGAGGCAAGTGCAGAAAATATGTTACAGAGTGACTTTTTGAAAGGTATTCGCTTAGGGGTAAGAGGATGTCAACCAATTATTCAGGCCATCGAGAACCTTGCTCATAATCAAGGAAAGGAAAAGAGGACGATAGAAACAGTAACACTACCGTCTTCGGAACTTACAGCAAAAATGAGAGAGTAAGTACTGTATAATAATAATTATTGCAGCGCCTTTAAATTCAGCATGTACATAAAGGGCCATCCTGCTTAAAGTATGGGACTAAAGCACACTCTCTAATGATTTTATCTCACCTAAGGTTCAGAGAGCAAACCTCAACATCTGTTCCAACCGCTCCCATAAGATATGATAACTAGAAATATGGTAAATAATGATAATGGTATCAGAAATTTATAACATCAAAAATTTATTTCCCAAATTCAACAAATTTATTAAAGGTACCCAGCAAGAATTAATCTAGATTAGAACGCTTTCATAAATAAATAATTTTACAGAAATGAAATCATATATCACCTTTAAGAAAGATTTTTAAATGTAGAGGTCATTCACAGGGATTCATTGGACAACTCAACAATGATCATGTAATTCCTGCACAGCTGACCCTATAGTATAAGGTCATTTTTATTTTATCTCCTTTCAGGCTGGCTAAAGACAGGATTTATAATGTCTTTTCAAATGAATCTCATGATAAGGTAATTCAAATATTATTAATATGTTAACTAAAAGTTTCTTGATCATAGATTAATAAAGGTATACAGTAACACCATCACTTACTCAAACCTTAATTCATTCATTGGTGCCATACTCGGGATTTGAGGGTAGTCAACAACTAATCTTAATCCTTGATTAGTTACAAAGTACCAGATTTAATATATTTTTTTTTCAGTTTTCAAGAGACAATGCTTTGAGTTTAGTTCGAGATGAGTTAGTCAAGGAAGTTGCAGGTAATTTTGTTATATTTTCAATACAATATATTTTCTTGGTCAAAAACCTCATTTTGTAAAGTGAAACATTGACAGTTAAAAACCTGGTGCAGAAACAACCACAGTTGGGGAAAGTAACATAAACTCATTTTTCTTTTTTCATAGATATTTTTCCAGATGAAGAAAGTTATTTGATTACAGAATCATTTTATTCAGTAGCTAAGGAGACATTTAGAAACTTAGTGCTAGATGAAGATAGAAGGTGAGACTTCATTTTATATTGTTACAATAAATCCACATTCATTTTTCTTTACCTGTTGGAAATATAAACAATTCAAGTAGCACAGCAATCAATTAGAGGTTTCAAGTCAAGTATAGAATTCATCGTTTTTAAAAAATCTTCCATCAGTAAAGATAGCGAAGTAGTTCTGTAGGCCTAGGAGAGTCGCATTTTCTTAAATTGAAAAAATATATATCTTATTGCTGTTATTATATTTTAAATAAATAAATATAGTGATTTATTCATGGTTGCAGATGTGATGGAAGAGATTTAGATGAATTGCGCAATATATGTTGTGAGATTGATTTATATAAACCATTGCACGGCTCAGCCCTTTTTCAACGTGGACAGACACAGGTTAGATTTATCTTAACCTTATTTAAATTTCTTCATTTTCATTTCAATAACATCCATTATCATTATGAAAATAAAAAGTAGGCTGTTAGCATACCTCCACAAAGTACAAATATTTTGCAGAAAACAATTATGTAAGAGTAATAGATAAAACTATAAATGTACCTATGACTTTGCATTATCCTTTTTTTCAAGGTTCTGTGTACAGTAACATTTGATTCAATAGAGTCAGCATTAAGGACTAATTCCGTGTCTGATACCACAGAGTAAGTAAGATACTGTTCTTATATTCTTTTTATAGATTTCTTGTATTTCATTGCAAGATCTGTTTTCAAATACTGTACTTGTTTATATCTATATTTCTTTTCATTTGCCACTAAACATATGCATTGCATACAGCTAGTATTGATAATTATAATGATAATGAAAATAAAGATAATTATAATAATAAATATTGTTATTTACTTGTATGCAGTGTTTATAATTTTATTATTGATTACTTTTATAGTTCATTCACATGCTATTATACTTGTATTTATATTCTGAAATGTTCTTTCTATAAATATGAATATTATGCTCTGTCGAGCCCACAAAGACACATGTCAAATGTATTAAGCCAACATCTGTGCTAAGATTTCGATACATGTAAAATCTTTTCTATTGCCAAAATTGTTTATCTAACCCAGATCTGATGTCTATTGTTAGCTAAGGGCAGGTTAGGAGGTGATAAGCCACACATGTATTGGACAAATGAAAGCAGCTGTGATTGATGCACCAGAAGTTGTGAAAGGCTGTACCAAACCATCTGCCCATTGCCGTCCTCACCGGATGGTATATATTGTGTCTTTCAATAGTTATAATGATATATGAATGTGTGATGGATTTCTTTGTATCTTGCAGTGGGATCAAGGATAAAAATTTTATGTTGCATTACGAGGTAAATTTAATAAAAAAGAGCTTAAAAATATGCACAATTTCCAGAGTGTCAATCGAACAATTGACCAATCAGGACGTATTATTGATTAATTACGAACAGCCAAGTCTACTTACGTTTATGCTGTTTAAGTCCCTACGCCTTAGCAACCTTGGAAAGGGTTAGGTCATAGTGGAAAGGTTCATTTATTCTAAAGCTATGCCCAGATTACCAAATTTTCTTTGATATATAGAACAGTTGTATGGCCATATATAGTCATGATGTGCCTATACATGGTCATAATGTGATGTCATCATGACCATATTTGGGCATATCACTTGCAAGTCTCAAAGGCCAATTAAGTGCTGGATGCACCATTCTGATAACTGAGGAGCTGTTCGAATGTGTTTGATTTTCAGATGACCGGAATGACAGTGTAGAGCAAATATGAACTTGCTTGTTATGCTAATTATTCAGTAATTAGTTAGATACTATGTGCTTATAAATCCCTGATATTTAAAAATATGTAGATAATTTTAATGAAGATTTTGTATATTTTGTTAATTTCAGTTTCCACCATATGCCACCAATGAAACAGGAAAGGTGAAATCTGGCACTAGAAGGGAGCTGGGGCATGGTATGTATTACAATACAGGAGGGTGTATTGGTGGTTGTCGCTTCTCTTCCCATCTCAGAGTCCTGAACTAAAATCCTAAAAAAGAACAATAGGTTTTTTTTGTCTCACTGAAAAATAACTGTACTCTCTAAATATGACATTGAGTTCATCACTTATTGAAGATTTACTTTCTTTAGAATGAGGATGCATTAGATGTCTTGTAATTATTTTAAAGTAAGTCAATGTCTTAATGTACTCTTTCGCATGCAGGAAATCTGGCAGAGAAAGCCCTCAAGCCCCTAGTGCCAGGTGACTTCCCATTCACCATCCGTCTCACCTCAGAAGTCCTGGAATCAAATGGTAAGTTGTGGTGGTACATTTTTATTTTTTGGGTGAATCAAATCTTTTCTAGTAAAGTGATTTTATTTCTCATGACCAAAAAGTAAACTCTACTTCTTTAGCATAATGCGTTTATGACAGGGATTGTCAACTATTATATAACACAATGTTCAGTGGCATGACAATGAATCATGGGGCCCTGAGCGATAAAATGTTGGGGCCCCCATTTTTGTATTCACTCATGAAGTGTCACCAATGAGGCCGAGGGTAGGGAATTACATTGTTGTAATTAGCTTAATTTTGTTTAACTTTCTACTGAATCATCGAGGCTCTGTTCTGGTATTAGTTGGACGGCCCTGTCGTCTCTCCAGGAACCCTATGGACTGTGTGCCAAGGGCTTCAGCATCCTTATTTCATGTGCCTAAGTAAATATAACAAAAGAAACTTTTCTTTTTGCCAGAATTATTAAATGATTATTATTTATTTTTTAATTTTTGTTTCAGGATCTTCATCAATGGCATCAGTTTGTGGAGGGACATTGGCCCTGATGGATGCAGGTAATAATAGTTAGGTGATGATGATTGTAAATAAGTGATTGGGTAAAAATCGGCTAAAAAAAAAAAAAAATCCTTTCCGAGCCACTGGGGCTCATAGGGCTGGAGCTTATCCCCAGTTTCTGTAGTGTGAAGCGGATGAGAGTTGTACTCCCCCTGGACGGGACACTAGTCCGTCGCAGGTTAGTCCCCAGCAATTTGCTGGTACCCATTGATACAGCTGGGTGGACTGAAGCAATGTAGCTAAAGTGCCTTGCCTAAGGACACAAGCGAATCTGCACAGTGGAGACTCGAACCTCCGACCTTACGATTGAAAGCCCAAACGTTAACCGCTGCTCCAAACTGCCGCACCATCGGCTAAAGGTAGATGATAATTAATTAATGTGTCAATCTAAGCTTAGAACTTTATGTTGCTAGGTTTGGTAAATTGTAAAACCATATTGTAGTCTTTGGTATGTCTTTTAATATCCCATGATTCATTGACCATCTGATCCTATTCTTTTGCTAGTTATCCACACGGATACCATATAATCCTTGTTGCTAGGTGTGTCTATTGATTTTCTATGATAATTTGTTGCTATTAGGTGTACCAATATCAAATTCTGTTGCTGGCGTTGCAATTGGTTTGATGACAAGGTTGAAGGAAGAAACCAATGAAATTGAGGAATACAAGATACTGACTGATATTCTGGTATTAAGATGCTTGATTGTCTCATACATTAATTCATTAATTCATTTACTCTCTAAGATACTCATTCATTCATTTATCTGTTCATCCTCTCATTTACTTTTTACCATTCATTCATTTATTCATTCAGTTGTTTATTCATAAATTTATTTATTAGTTTATTTACTCCATCATTTATCCATCATTCCATGCATTTATTCACTAATTTTTTTTTCATTCATTTATTCACTCACTTGATTAATAAAATCATCCATATATCTTTCACATCCTCATAATATACAGTTATTGCTATTCTAGTTACTTTGTAAAGTTTACTTTAAAATACATACTAATAGTGATAGTAGTGGTTGGAGGCTTATATAATGCATAGTATGTGGTCTCTATGTGCTGCTGTACAGAAAACAAAAGAAAACATAATGTATTCTAGTAGGTCAACTAAGCTAACCATGAAAAAATGAATGACTGAAACAGACTAACGTAGAATTTAAAATTCACCTGCAATTTGAGTCCACCGACAAACAGTGGTTAGCAGGTACGTGACTCACAGGCACTTGAATAGTGTTTGTATCTGGCCTAGCCTTTCCTAACAACAGAAGCAAAATTATGAGAAAACAAAAACAAATTAAAAAGAAAGGAAAAGGTTTGATTTAAGGCTCTGCTTGAAAACAGAGAGCAGGTAAAGAATCCCGAATGTAGATGGGAAGTTCATTCTAGAGCTTAGAAGCAGTGACCCGAAAAGACCTTTCTTCATATTTCAAGTGGCACACTGGAATAGAAAGTGTATGGTGAATTGTGTTAGGCCGAAGTTGCTAAGCGAAGCAAGCAACAAAGTCAACTACCAGCTTTCATGCCACTGTTGTACAGTATATTCTTCGAATATTGTACTCTGTTGCTTTTCCTTGTTTAGGGCATTGAAGACTTCATGGGTGATATGGATTTCAAATTAGCTGGAACAAAGAAAGGGATTACAGCATTACAGGTAATGAACACGTTACAGCACATGTTCACCAAAGTTTGATTTGATTTATTTAGAATTTATCAGCAAAAACAAGATTAAGTATATTAAAAAAATATAGTAAGAAAACAACATTACATAAAATCTAAGGTTACACAGGATGCATTTCTAGTTGTTTCCAAAGTGTTCCTTGAGATACAGCCTATCCCTATCTTTAATGTGTCTGTCCTTAATTCAGTGATGCAAATTCTATGTAAAAATACATTCTGTTGAATATTTTCAAGGCGGATTTTAAGCTACCGATTCCAATGAAACTGATTGCTGAGGCAGTTCAAGAAGGAACTCAGGCGAAGGCTGCTATCATCAATATCATGAACGATGTGATCAGTAAACCTCGAAGTAACAGGAAGGATAATAGTCCAGTCACGGGTTAGTACATTTGCAATCTAATATCCATTGAAACGGAATCAGGAGGTGGTTTAGCCCTCCCTATAATTATACAAAGCTTGTGTCCCCACTACTGCTGTATCTACTGCTGCTCTTCCTCAAAATATCTCCGTATAATATTTTGATTCTCTTCACAATGACACTACACATGATTTCATATAATGAATTATATATTTTGTAAAAATCAAATTAGGAGAATAACAAATTTCTGAAAAATTGCAGAAAAATAATAATTGTGTTACTATTTTGAAGCACAACCAAAATAGCTTAGCATTAGAAAGAATACCTCAGTCTAATTTTGTTGCAAGTTATGGAAAGTAAGTGTTGCGTTTGTTAATGAGTTCATCTCAGACCGTAGTGAAAGTGATATTTTTGTTTTCCACAGAATCTTTGGAGGTACCCATAGCAAGGAGATCCCATTTTGTAGGACCAGGTGGATACAATCTAAAGAAGCTGCGAGCAGAAACTGGCATCACTATTACGCAGATTGATGAACATAACTTCCAAATTTTTGCACCCACCCCTGTTGCAATGGATGAAGCCAAAGAGAAAATTGAGAAACTTTTAGTGGATGATGTAGGTTTGAATTCCAGATTTAGATATTCATTAAGACTTGGAAGATGCAGTGAAGGGGAGGATCTCTCCAAAGAGGGGATATTTCTGACGGGAAGCTAATTTTCTTGGTGAAAGCATAAGTGGTCACAGCCAGGGGAAACTCTAGGGGTGGGGGGGTTCCTGGGCGAATACCAAGAAACTTTGACATCTAAGGGATTTTAAGTCTTATTTACTCGATTTTAGTGTCTCGCATTCTGTAGAAATTACATAGAATTTTATTTCTTCTTGACAAATTGTGTTCTTTCCCCTGGTAGTTGGGCAGGGGGTGTGGGGGGGGGGCAGCTCTCCGTGACAGTGAGCCCTGGGTTCCCCCACTAGTGCCACCATTGACCTTTCACTCAAACTTTCAACCTCTTGATTATCTCTACACATTTCAATATAATGTTTTCCATTTTTGTATAACAGAGAGAACCAAACCTGGAGTTTGGTGGTGTTTACACCGCAACTATTGCTGAAATTAGGTAAGTGTTATTCTCCTGAACAGTTAAAAAGTATAATTACTTAACAAACCAATTGAGTTTTTTTTTATGCATATTCATATTTTTTGCTTGATCCAGGGAAAGTGGTATAATGGTAAAACTGTATCCAACCATGAGCCCAGCGCTGTTGCACATTTCACAATTGGATCAGAGAAAGGTAAGTTTTATTGTGGGGAACCCATGAAGGGACGGGGTTGAATGTTTCACCTTTCTGCTGATCGTGGGTGGCTGTCACATGGTCATCGAAAACGATCAGCTGCATGCATACCATAAAGGAAAAGGTAGAATGAAAACCCATAATTTGCAGCGTCATTGTGCTGAATTGCGTTTTGGCGTGGTCCATGACTACCTAGCAGCCGTAAAGAGGTGCTTATAGCAAGGACTTTTAACTGTTACCAGGATAGGAAGCTGGCTGGTTTAAAACTTGAATTAGCCTTATGTGCGGTATTGTTATGCAAATGAGCCAGATAAGCACAATCTGCACATGCTCAGAAAGACAAAACTTTCCTTAGCCACACGATGGCCACTCTGAGTATCGGCTAGGCGTACAGCTAGGCCTAGCCAAGAATTACGGTACGGTAAAACAAAGCAAAATAAGGGTACTAATTTCACTTGGCATGCAAATCAATCATACTTACACACTTACATAAAATCACCTGCAAGTTAAGATATCAGGCAAGTATGTCTACAAATTTGATTTTAAATTGATGTGATTAGGCTAGCCTAGACCCAGCCTAGGCCATGTCTAACCGCTTATAAAAATGCAGAAAAAAGACCCAAAACAAATTAGAATGAAGTTACCAACTAACTAGTGCATTAAAATTATTCATATACTTACTACTTACCTATATAAAATTAAAGTGTATTGCTCACAAACGCCAATATTTGGATTTTAATACGCCTTTTCCATGAATCGGTAGACATCTTGAAGTGATGACAAACAGCCTAAGTCAGTGGTGCGTAACAAGCAAAAATAAGATAAGCTAGGCCTAGCTGCTGTACGCCTAGCCGATACGCAGTGTGGCTAAGGAAAGTTTTGTTTTTCTGAGCATGTGCAGATTGTGCTTATCTGGCTTATTTGCATAACAATACCGCACGTAAGGCTAAATCAAGTTAGACGGCTTAAACCAGCCAGCTTCCTATCCTGGTAACAGTTAAAAGTCCTTGCTTGTAGTAGATACATGTTCACATCATTCCACAACAGCGTCTGAAATGAACCATAGCATCAGGGTAAACCCCTACTCTTCCGAAAGATGCAATGGGTTCTTTAAAGTGCACACAAGCCAGATGTGCACTCTGGACCTCCAATTGAAGTCCTTATATCGAGAAGACTTTGTTCTACCAACCGAACCAGTGCTGATGTTAAAGCTGTAGTTAGCGGCCCCCTAGCCTTACCGTTCGGCTACTTGACTCGCACGCTGTCATCAGTTTGCTTGTTCTATGCTAAGGCGTTTTCCAGGCAGTGTGAGCTCAGCTTTCCTCATTTTTCTTAGTGATTTAATTTGTGTGTATTTGTGAGTAAACATGTTTAATTATTGTCTTTAAGGTAAGTCATCCAAGTGCATTGGGATTGGAAGTTGGTCAAGAGATTCATGTAAAGTACTTTGGTCGTGATCCAGTCAGCGGCAGGATGCGTCTGTCCCGTAAAGTCCTCATGGCACCAGCATCCTCCGTCATTAAGAGTCTAGGAAAGAACCAATCATCAACAACTAACGAATCTGGAGCATGAAAATGTAGTTGAAAGCTTCAAGTGTTTAATCAATAAACTGATACAGAGTACTGTAGCCATGCAGCACAAGAAAATCTAATGGGCTTTAGTACCTGATGATTCTATTTCTGCTTTGAAGGAAAGCCTCAGTGGTTATGCAGTGGCGGCTCTAGGATATATTTTCTGGGGGGGCTAAGTTGTCCAACAGGGGGGACTTGAGCTCGTAGGCTCGAGCTGGAGGAAGGGGTTGAGAGGGGGTTCCTCCTCCGAAATGAGA